GTCAGATATTATCACTGATGTGTAACGCAGTTTTCAGAGTGCAGCTTTGTAGAGAAGTGAAAGTTTGTTTGTAGAACCTGTTTCTTTATATGAGCCAGTCTTTATGTTTAGCTAAAACTTATCACCATAATAGACTGTATATAAAAATGCACATAGGCACTGTGATGTCATTCTTTGGTTTGTTAAGCCTCATTTTGAAGATTTCAGTATTATGGCCAATTCTTTTTTGAGTAGTTTCTCGAGCCAGATCATCTGCTCTGTTAGCAAGCTAAACCTGTAAATAGCCGCTATCCGGCGCTAATATGTGAATCAGTTACTAGAAACCAACTATAACTTGAACCCAGACTTCTTGGGATCTTCTTCAGTTGTTAGCGCAGTTGTTAAAACAGTTAAAATGCTCCACATGTAACCACTGTCTACATGTGCAGTCCAGTTAGTGGAGGTGAAGCAGGCAGCTGTTACAGTAGCTGCATCAGTGTACCTGCCACATCTCCAATTATATTAATTTTACACTTCACCATTAGTGGTGCAGTTTTGCAGTTTGTAGTGCTTCAGCATAGGCTTCATTTTTTAGGCTTCAGACCCTTGCATAAAAATAAATGATGTCACCAGTCAACATGATGTTGTGAAATTATTCTCAGTAATTTGTCAGAGTCTGGTGTGCAAAGTGTGGCTTACTTTCCACAGCACTGATATAATCCCATACAATCAATTTCTGGCTTAACCTTTGTGTATTTGATTTTGTGCATGCTTTGTTCTCCACCAGGTTTTGGCTTCCTGACCCGTCAACTGATGTCACTGGCCGGCGGTAAGGTGGTCATGGCTCTGGAGGGTGGGCATGACCTCAAAGCTATCTGCGATGCTTCCGAAGCCTGTGTGAGCGCCTTGCTGGGCATGGAGGTTGGATGTGTTTTTGCGCATACAGAGCATGTGCCTTTTCACAGATACCTACAGCATGTTTTCCTCTCTAACCTCTGACCACATGTGCCACAGGTGGAGCCTCTGTCCCAGTCGGTGTTGGACCAGAAGCCCTGTGAAAATGCGGTGCTTTCTCTGCAGAAAGTCATCCAGATTCATGGTGAGAATACAACATGCAGCATCAAAAACCATCACCAACATGACACTGAGCAGTCTTGTGAAACTTGTGGAAAATATTGATCTAAAAAAATAGATCTTCGTTTCATTAGTTTGATAAGATTTTGTTGCTGTTTTTTTTAACTTCATTCTAAACTGTTTGCCTCAGTTGTCTTTAGTATCTTACTCTCTAAGGTTGGCCATAAGCTATTTGAGTCATAAACACCTTTAAACTCTCAAAAGAAATAGTAAATCAAAAATAAATGCCCATCATTATCTTGTGGAAGTGGAAGAGATCGCTAGCATTCACTGGATGTGCTCGCTTCCAGAATTGTTTCTCAAGAAAGTTGCTGTAATGGGAAAGTTAGTAATGGTCCTTGGGCTGAAATATGTGCTTTTATTTGAAAATGAGATCAAAGAAAGGGCTTGCTTGCAAAATTAATAATTATACCACTATGTTCACTTCCTTATACATGAAAGGATTTCAAGTCAAGTCAGATTGTTTTAATATTGGCCCAAAAATCACACCGTGCGGCTCCAGCATCCTCTCTCCGCGGATCTTCCATTCATAATAAAAAGAAACACTTCAAGTTGAGCAACAGAGGAGGAAGAGTGAAATTACATCAACGTTACTAATTCTAATGACTGTAGAGCAATTTAGCATTTTTATTTGAAAGGAATTTCATCGAAATATTTTTCGGCTCGATTAAAAACATTTTCGTCAAGCTAAAATAAAACATGTCTATTTTTTTCCATCACTAAGTCTTCTCACATCGCCCCCACTGTCCGACCACCTCTCCTCCTTTACATCCCTGTCTCCCCATCTCTCCCTCCAGCCGTCCCACACACAGACAGACAGACACACACACATACGCACACACACAGCCGCCCTGGCTCCAATTATCTTCAAACACTTCTCTGGCACACGACCTTCGCAACATCCCCTTCTGATTGCACACAAATGTTATCCCAACCAAATTAGATTAATTAAAAATATTTGAATAGCCACAAGAATGTTAAGCCCATAATTTAGGCCCGGGGTGAAATATATGTGAGTTGCATTCGCAGCCAGAACACACACGCTCAGAGATGAGCACATTTGCAAACTCTGATTTTTTTTCCTTTCGCTGTGTGACACGGGACTCGAGGCCCTGAGAGAACAGATTGAATTTGAGTTTACATTCGTGAAATTATCAACATGGATATTTAGACCACGGGCTGTTTATGTCACAGTCATTGCTTATATTCAGATCAAACGGCTACAACTAGCGGATCAAACACCGTGCAGTGCTCTTTAATAATGGAGACGCCTTCCCTCAAGGAACAATTCAGGATGAAAACAGCTCTGAAATACCAATGAATGCGGCCATTAATCTTTTCTCTCTCCTGTTTTCCTCCCTCCTCTCCATCTTTTTTCCATTCTTCGCTTCCCGCAGGTGAGTACTGGCAGAGTTTGAAGGATTCGGCCTCCACAGTGGATATGTCCTACTTGCAGGCGCAGAGACGAAGACTGAGACGAGACTCGGACAGCGAGGCTGTCAGCGCCATCGCCTCTCTGTCGATGGGGTCTCTCGCATCTGACAGGTAGGGGCAGCTCTGTGTTTCATATCTTCTGCTTTAGCACGGCCATAATGTTGTACTTTATGCACGTTAAACCCTTATCTTTCTCTTTGTCATCAAGGAAACCCTCTGAGAAATGATGGAGAAAAGGTGATTCTCCCTGAAGAAAGACTCGAGCCTCTACACACGCACACAAACACGCACACAAACACGCAAAGCAGCGCTTTGGATCGTCACTGGAAGCAGATGTCACCTCACAAAAAACTCCACCTGTATTACTACTGGCTGAATTCTGACCCATCTGATCCAAACACACACACACACACCGACGACCAGCAATCATCTGGGCCGCGTTCTTACTCTCATCCCTCGCTGCAATGAGAGCTGAAGCTAAAGGAGACACCCAGGTGCAGATTAATGAAGGGTTTCGCAACAACGTGATGTAGCATATACATCTTGAGAGAAAAACACATCTCAGCACATTTGCAGACTGAATTAAAATGACTCCAGCACCCAGCCCCAAGACTGTTAGAAGGAAGGGTCAAAGGTCGCCTCAGCTTATCGAAGCCACTCAGTTTGAGAGGAAGGAGTCGTCCCCAAAAGTACGTGCGAGTGATGAAGCGCAGACGTATCCCTCGGCCGCGATGTCATTCGTCTGCGTGCGACCGCGATCGAGCGGGTTTTTCTGATCATCCTGCACTGCACGTTTGTTCTCATCATCAGTTCATCTGACCGGAGGAACACTTTTTTTGGGGGGGGATGACATTGTTTTTTAAGAATCATGAGTGAAGCTACAATGAGGTCTGACATACATATTTTTTTTTAGCGTTTTCATCATTTCTTTCTTGGCGTAACCAGGGCGAGCGCGTGTAGCAAGACCTCGGATTGCTGCAGTTATTTGTATCGCTCCTCTGAAGTGCATCTTAAATATGTAGATATGCTGTAGTTAGTGTTGGTAGCATTAGTCACAATGAAGAGCTGATACCTCCAGTCGCTGTGATATTGATATTCGGGGGAAGGGGGGATAATAAGCCTGTCAGATAAGACAGAATCACCCATGATGCCTCAATGCAGTGTGACCACTCAGTAATGATTGTACAAGTGACAATGCACATCAGTTTTTAACATTTTGGATGAGACTCACATCCAAACACTCACTCACACAAAGTGCACTTATCTCGCCCTCGGAAACGAGGGTTAGAGCGACTCGGGTTTCAAAATCTGAACTTTGATGTTTCTACCTGTGGATGAGCATTCCTGCTGTATTTGTTACATGTTTTTTTTCCTGTTATTATTATTATTATTTTTTAAAATCTGATCTGTCTTCTGTTCATCACCTACATAGCGCCAGTCTATTTACTGTCATCCTCGGAGATGTTATGCTCCCCGGACCAAACAATGGCGTGTTAGTGGTTCAGTTAGGATGAAGCAATACTGAGATAGTTAAATATCCACACAGTGCAATTGGACACAGGTTAAGTACAACCAAAGCTTATGAGAACAATGTGTTGCCCCTGGACTGGCATGGCCTGAAGAACTTCAAAGACTTTGAAGACTTTGCGAATGTTTCTTTTCTCAATCCAAACAGTCGAAAAGCACAAAAAAAAAAGGAAAAAAAAAACGCAGGACATTTATATACGCAAATCAATTCGACATGACTCCTATTTATATATTCAGATTCTGTGTCTTTGAAGTGCTCTTTGCATGTCTAACATGATTGTGATGGTGCTAATACAGTATGTCTGATTGTTTGTTTTTTATTTTTAGTTTGTTTGTATTTTACGTTGCACTCTGTATGTAACTCACGGCCTTTCCGACATTTGTTGATGTGACGAAAATGTGAAAAACGAAAGACATCCTGACGGAGGAGTGTAGCTTTCAGTCGTTTGTTTGTTTTTTTAAGAACGTTCACGACAGCGACCTGACATATCACGTGTCTTAATCAGTGTAAATGATCTGCTTTTTTATTTGAGCCCAAATAATGAACCCTGTGCATACTCGGAGACCAAATTATCAGTCGAAGGATCGTTCTGACCAACCTGTGTAAAGGTAGCCTTAACAAACTGGAATTTTTACTTTAGGTCAAGTCCAGTTTTCTTTATAACTGACTGTCTTGATTTTTTTTCTGTACAGTGTACATAGCGACATTGGTTTTGTTGTCTTACTTTTGCCTTTTTCTACTATTTTCACCCAAAAAAACCTAATAAAGGTAAATTATGTACATTTTAAGAAAGATCAGTTGTTTCTTTTTCCTATTTTACTTTTTTTTTCTCTTTTTTTTGGTCCTTTTCTTTTCCCAGCATTCTCCATTCTCTTTCAATAATACAATATTGTACTTATGTACAGCCATGAGGAAAAAAATTTATTTCCACAGGATATCACACAAGAGAGATGATCATAAGCAAATTCAAAGCAGTACAAAAGCAACACTTTTAAACCGCATGGTTACAAATGAATCTGCTGTGGCTCAAATCACTTTGCCGCCACTTTGGCACATTTTATACGAAAATTTCTGCTGTTTTATTTTTGTGTTTTTTTTTCAATGAAAATAAGCTTGCAAAGATATTTTAAAGCTGCTGGAATTAAAACAAACAGAAAAAAACTACTTAAATGAGATTTTCTTGCAATACAAAATGCAGCTTTCTACTAGAAAAGAGTAAAATGAAAAACAGAGGGGGCTGAACTGGGATCAGTGGTGGTATCAAGACTTTTTCCCTTTTTTTCCATTAAAGGCGAGAGCAAAGGATAAGCAGAGTTTAAAGTAATACAGTGTGCGTATACCAATTCACATACACTCTAAAACCCACAAAATACACAGAAAGCGATCCAGTTATTACAAAGTCGAAGATCTACGCCAAATTCCTCGTGCTCTTCCTCTTCCCTCAAGACGGGGTCTTCAGAGCCAGAGCGATTAGCTTATTAGCATTTTAGCTGTAAACATTCATTGGCTGTGACCGCCCTCTAACCATCACTGTGCCATTATCATTAGTCATCTTAATGTCTGTCTGGCAGTGAGTCATCCACTGTGAAGAGTTGGGTGGATCTCGCCGTGGTGGTTATCGCCGTGTAACCGAAGGCACTCGAACCAGCAGCCATTTTGTTTCATTGTCACCGCAGGCCAGCTGTTCGTTGATCTTTGTTTATTTTTTTATTTTTTTTAAAAAGTCCATTTCAGTTTCATCGTTCAAAGTGTTCAGCTCTTCGTCGGACCGTCGAGGGATCTTCACCAGAGTTTCGGGAACACTCGGTGAAGGCCGGGCGACCGCACGGAGGCCAGACTTGTCCAGAAAAAGAGAAAGTTTTCTTTTCCTTTTTTTTTTGTTTTGTTTTTTTGTTTTTTAAAGTGGAGATATTTGTCAAGGCAGGAACCAATTTCTTCAAGTGTAGTGAAGTTTCCGTTTGTCAGTTTTCTGCAGGGAGAAGAAACATAAAAGGCAAGTTAGCATTATGGGTATTTTATAGCATTTCACACAACTTAAAGACCGGGTGAATGTGTTGAGGATACAACATGTGAGCGCAGACAAGCAAAAACTTCTGTTTAGTGCAAAACGGAAAAATCCCCACAGCTCTTCAGCTTCTCCTTTTAACAGGCAAACATTTCATCTGGATCATTTTCAGCTTTCCCTAATTATAGCGTGCCCTTCCGCGATACCACGAGAAGTCTTGCGAGCGGAAGCCGGATGTATGTGTGTGTTAGGGCTAGGGTCACATGACTTTGATCGTACCCCAAAAGCATGCCGCGTGCATGTTCCCATCCAAAAGGTGCTTTGTTTTTCAAGTCACAGAGCGTGGGGCCACCTCTTTTGTGCTGGAAAGCCATTAAACACCCTGCCTCACATTTTCATGCCCGGTCAGTATTTAAATGCACACTTTTCTTGTATTTGATTAATTTGACTAATTACGTCTCTGGAAAATAGTTTTTATTGGTACACCTGCACTGGATTAAAGCCAAGTTTATTTGTTAAAGAAAGCACATGTAAAGGTTTTCGTGTGGGGGTCGGTCCTTATTAATGTTTTTAAACGATTGAACAATTTCTGTTTCGTTATATTGTGTAAGCGTGCCGATTCTGATACACTCTGGGCTTGTGTTATGTGGTTCTTTGCTGCCTACGTGTCAAACCAGAAGACCTTCCTCTATCCCTGCAGCTGTCTGACCAGCACGCTCAAGCGCATATGCGTGGAGCAGTCAAATGTACACACACGCACACACACACAATCCTCCCACCTGCACTCAGCTCTTAGTTTGGATCTCTAAAAATAAAGATGACTCGCAGAAGCCACGACTTCTGGATGAGGCTTTTAAAAACGCAGATGAGCCGCAGAGGACTTTACATCTGGTCCCAGATCAGCCAGCAGCGAAAGCCAGATATTTAATATGTGCAGAAGAGCGTCCAACAGCTGGTCAGTCCAAATTGTAAAACACCACACACACATACGCACACACACATATGTGCACAGATGCAGCAGAGCCAGGGGTTCCGGCACAGGAAAGCAGTGACAGGCATTGTGATTATAGTATAAACAGAGGGGAGAGTCTTGTTTGTTCCAACTCAGACTGAACAATCGCTTCATTCTGAACATCTCACGCTGAGCCAGACACCCACACATCTTCAAAATCGTGCTCATGAAAATGCACAAAAATGTCTGCGCCGATTCGTGTTCGTGTGTACATGCTGCGGGCTTCCAAAGAAAATATAAAAAGTTCTTTTACACCAAAAGCAGTGCATTTTATAAACTTTTTGGTTTTTTATTTCTTTGCTTTTTTTTTTTTTGCTTTTGTTGCAATATACTCATCGATTGAACAAATAAATAAATAAACAACTATGTGATTTCTTTGAAAAAAATCTGAGGTAGGAAAAAAAGCAGGAACACTATGCAGTCCTGAATATTTTAAAGCCTTAAATGTACGTGTATGGAATTTTGAATTTCTGAATAATGTATAAATTACATATGTACTATCTGTTTATGTATTGACTGTCCGTCTACTCTCCAACTCTATAAACCATTTTTGTACACTGGTCATTCTTAAAGAAGAGGCACTGATGTTGTTCAACATCTTTAAATAAAGGATGTAACAATTATTCACTGATATCTGATACCACACCATAAACAGCCTTAAAACGGGAACATTACAAGCACGTCATGTGATGTCAGTTGTTTGGGTTATTTTGTCCAACACCAAGTAAAACAAGTACACATGGCCTCATCAACACACACACACAGACTGTTTTAAGACCCGTGCACGCATCCGCGCACACTCCACCTTTGAAGTGTCCTGACCCTTTCTAACCTCAGCTCTTTCCTAAAATTGCATGTTTTGGTCGTGCAGGCGCAGGCCTTGAGTTTGCAGCACTTTCTGTGGCGGCCCCTGCAGAGCTGATGATAACAGGCAGAGCAGTCAAAGTGGTAGGTAATAACTACAACGATGCGTTCAAGGACAGTCGTGTCCACGAGCAGGGGCCTTGGCTTTCCGCTGATTGGAGCCCTCCCCAACCCCCCGCTCCACTCCACGATGTCTGGTGAGTTAGCTCAGAGTGGAACACCTGCGGTGTGCACATAGCAGCAGCTGCATGTGTGTGTCTGGACAGTGTAATATATACATATATAAGCACGGGTTGTATGAAGCCCATGTGCAGCAGTACCTGTAGTATCATTTGTGATTGGGGATGAATGCTGCATATGTTTGTAATCATTTAAAGGTCTGATCAGAGAACTGTGTCTGTGCCTGTTTGCAGTGCGTGTGTTCACCTTGACCTGCGATCTAGCTGTTAGAAAAGCATGTTGCACTGAAACCCAGATTAATCTCTGCTCGGCCTTTGCTCCTCACAATGTCTACACCCGCCTATCTTTTTTTAAAATAAATCCTTTGATGTTGTCAAAGACCTTCATGGCCTTTTTTTTTTTTTTTGGAAGAAATATAACTAAGTCTGACCAAACTGAAACCAGAAGATGGGAGAGATAAAAATCACTGAAACAACATCTGCAAATGTATTCCTGTTTACTTATATGCACATGTTTGCACACACACACACACACACACACACACACACACACACTGCTGCACAGCTAATTAAAGCTCACTACAACCACACAGACACAGCAAGCACACACAAACATGTGCTGACATACACAGCCCCGTGCGGCTGACCCTAACCCCGGTAGACACACCTTCCTAATACCTCACAACTGTTTCCAATCTAAAGGTTCCTGCTTGTCTGGGCCCCAGCGAGGCCTGATTGCACGATATAAGATCCTGAGGAGAGAGGGCAAGGCTGCAAGGGAGAGAGAGAGAGAAAGAGAGAGAGAGTGATGTGCCTCCACTCCCCCCCCCCTCACTCTCCCTTTCTCCCCCACCCCCTTGCTGTACCTGTGCAGGAATCTGGTGTCTGTTTAAAATGTTTTTTGGGGGGGGGGTTGTCTTTTTTTTTAAAAAAGCCCTGGAGACTGCAGAGGAAAACATTTGTCTTACATTCATCAGAGGAATGTCAAACACTGGAGTGTTGATGATGATGATAATGTGCTTTTAGCTGATTTTTGGTTTATAAAGCGAAGCAACCAGGATGCTCAAAGGACCTCTTTCTTTGAAATTAACGTTCTACCCCTGATTGTGTTTTATTTAAGTCTGTGCACTAATCGTCCTCACCTTATCTGCTGGAAAGTGTTTTTATGGTAATTTTGAAAATGCATGGAGGGTGGTTAATGACAACTACACTGAAAAGAGAAAAAAAATTATAAAGAGGTGGGCAGACATTTTTGTTTGTGACTGAATGTGTTAGAAGAAGAAAATAGAAAATACATTTTTAACCAATTAAACTATTTTTAAATTTAGAATTTTGTTTTTCCTTTTTGTATCATTTTACCTTTACATACATTTGTACTTTACATAATTTTAAATTTACATTTTGTCTATTATTAAATTAATGTAAGTTTCTGATCCATTTACACAAAACCAACGTGGGATTGAGTTGTATTTGAATTTCTTGTGTGTGTGACAAATATTTATACACAAAAAAACAGATCATAACTAACAGTGTATTACTCTTTTTAAACTATGAATTAAAAATGAAACAAACAAAGAAAAAATACTAGCATGGTAAGTTGTTTTGATGATTAGCTAATAAAAATTAAGTTAAGATTTGAGGTTTAAAGAAAACACATGCACACTGAAATCAAAGACTGATATCACAGTTACATGAAAAATAATACTGCAGTTTATTTTGTCAGACATTTTTAAAGCATTACGATTTAAAACAAGTAAAGCAAAGTTTTCTTTGCTTTTGGTCCTACTGTATTTTTTCACATGAAGGAAAATACGTTTTCTGTCGTGTTTTGACATACACACATTTTAGCTCTTCACATTTGCAGTGTAACATTTTGATTCACATATTAAAAGCCGTTTATTCAATTCCTGTCTTCCTGATTGCATTTACTATATGAAGCAAAAGTGTTAAATTATCCAATAATAAAACTCCAAAAGAAGAGTTTTTGTCACCTTTGTATGGCGTGCATCGCATTCTCAAAATTGTCCACATCGTTTATTACCCCCTATTTGATCAAATTAACAAACCATTTTTATTCATTTTGTTTTCATTGAGTTTGTGTTTTTCGATTGAAGAAAGCACACTTACACTGAAGTCTAAATGTTGAGCCCCAAACTGCCTGTACACATGTGTGTGTATACATATATGTTCGACACTATTCTCTGCACGAATGTGTATGTGTGTGTGTATGTGTGTGTGTGTGTGTGTGTGTGTGTGTGTGTGTGTGTGTGTGTGCATATTTCATCCATACCTGAAGGGCTGCAGTGGAGCGAATCATAGCCCTGGGAAAAAACTGTGGGACAGATAAGGGAAAAAGAGGTGGAAAGAGTGGAGGGGAACGGGGTTAGGTTTTGGAGATTTCAGTAACTTAAAGCGTGTTCAACTATGGAGGTGGAGTGAGACAAGAAAGGACTGCAGAGGTTTATGAGAAGGTTAAGATCAGACCATGAGGGGAGAAGGAGGCTTAAAGGTCAGGAAATGAGTGCAGACACGGACAGAGCTGGGGAGGGAGGGAAGATGTGGACACGAGAGGGTGTACAAGAGAAGTTCAGTGGGGTCCTAGTGGCTGGTAGACATGGCCCAGGCCCCCTCCATCCTCCAGACGGAGAAGGCGTAGCTGAGTCTTTCATGGGCCAGGTAGTTGCAGCTGGCCAGCTTGGCGTCCATCTCATCGCTCTGCAGCACCTGGTAGAGGAAGTCGATGTAGCGTGAGGCCAGCTTCAGGATCTGGATCTTGCTCAGCTTGTCCGAAGGTAGCGTGGGAATGATCTTGCGCAGAGAGGCAAAAGCGTCGTTCAGGGATTGAGTGCGCTGACGCTCCCGCACGTTGGCGATGACGCGCTGAGAGTGGAGCTCCTCGAAGGGCGCCTCGGGCCTGGGGCCCAAAGTCGTCGGGGCCAATGACACGACCGCTGAGGGGCTTTTCTTCATCCTCTTTGGCCCCGACGGTAGCAGGCTGCTGGAGCTGCCTGTGCTGCTCTCCTCTGCCTGACTGAGGCTGTCCTTTTTGGGATAAGGGGAGCGTTTTCGATTTCCTGGTTGAAGGGTCTTTTTTGATCCTCTCTCCAGCTCTTCCTCGCTGGCCCCCAGTCCTCCTTCAGGGGAGTTGGTGCAGGACACCTCTTCTCTCATTCTCCTGTCCACTAATAACCTTCCAACCACCAACACAAAAACTGGATTTCGTGCGGTTCTTTATCGCTTGAGCTTACAGCTTCAAAAAAGAAAACAAGAAAAACCCTCAGCTTGACAAGCTTGTGTAAGTCACGACTGCTGAAGCTCCATCGGATTGGACGCCTTGTCGTCCTGTTTCCTGGTTACCTTGTTAAAATTCTCACTTTCACATTCCCCTCTCAACCTGCCAGACAGAACAACAACAAACCATCTGACAGGCAGGTCCACCTCCGCCTCTTTTATACCCAAACGCCAACCCGGAGCCTGCGGGCAGCTCTTATTGGCTCAAATGTTTTCCAGAGGGTGTGGCCGGGTATGAAACAGGCAGGAAAGCAGGAAGTGTGCATTAGCTGGGCGGGTGATAGAGAAAAGGGGGTAAGTGGTTCGCTTAGCCAATAAGAAGTGCTGTGTCTAATGTTGCAGAGATGTCTGAGGCTTTATGGGTTCCAGATTTGGGCTGGACCGTTAGAGCGCCTGCATCCTCGTGTCTACACAAACCTTGCATCTCTGACAGTCACCACGTGTAAGCTTTAACGTTTTAATACTTTTATGATGATAGTGGCGCTTTAAGCTTAACTCTTTTTTTCCCTTTAAAACTCAAACGTGAGAGAGTTCACCTAAGCATGTGTCGGTCATGTTCTTTATTATCCTGACAATGAGACGCTCGCTAAAAAAACTAATGGATTAGAGAACTGCAGAGAATTTATCGGTTTAATAATGTACTTTATGACGTGGAATTTATGTTTATAAATCACGCCCATTGCCATGACAGGCCAAAAGGTACAGTGGTATTTTTCAGAAAGATGTTCAGCCAGCGAGTTAAAATCTGCATACCAGCCTCTGCAAACTTCCTTTTCCCTCCAAATGTGACACATCGATGGAAAAGTTCTAAACAAATAAGCGCAGCTTATTAATATCGCTGCCGACATCAGTTGTCAGGTTGGGAAGGGAGGACTGCCAGGACCCTAAATAACCCCCTGACCTGAGTGGCCCAGCGACCTCAGTCTGCAGAGGTGAGGGAGCACCTAATTGTGCCATCCATGGCTTCGGGGCAGGGATCGACACATGTTCCTCCACAAGAGGAACCCATCTGGGTCTGCAGCCACTTAAAATGCATTTTCCACACGTTGGCAGTCGTGACACAGCAGGTAGGCCCCGCGTGAGAAAATGACAACAGGTTGTAAACTGTGTGCAACCTACATTTTGGACACATCACTAAATCTTGCGCAAGTCTACCTCTGAATCTCTGTCAGTTTCCCAACAACAGCCAAAACCATTTATACCTTCATGCGTCATGACTGGAGTGACTCATCTGTGGATCACTGCTGAGAAGTCTTGCGGGGAGTTTTCTGCCGCTCTGAGCTGTAGAAATGTTGTACTTTTTGATGACAGCATGCTCAGCGACAGCCTTTACATTTCAACACCTCCATCTCCATAAAGCTGGTTACATCTTTGATGTTTCTGAAGCTTCAGAAACTTTGCGTAGAGACACTCAGAAACTGGTATTATTTACAAACACTGGTTTTATGGATCGTAACTAAAACCTCGTATCAGTTTCTATATGCTGCCCGACAGCCTCAAGCCAACAATTTGGATGTGATTGGCGCGGTATTTGAAGGATCGAATGCGAAGAGAGTGGTTCAGAAGATTTTTGATGAGCCCCATGATTGCACTGGTTTACATTTCATTCACAGAGAGCGGAAAGTAGCTCAATCCCAGTTGGGTTCAATCAACTTGGAAGAGAGAGAGAGAAACAGAGAGAAAAACAAAAAAAAACCCTCATCTGGTCATCAAAGCAAAAGGCTGTGGACAGAAATGGGGAATTATATGAGGTTACATTTACATAAGCGGCAGAGTCAACTTAAGGATTAACTGGTATTAAAACTGAGGCCTGCTGGGACCTCTGGTGGAGCCAAAGGAAGGACAGGAAAGTCATCGTTGCTCAGGCTAATCTCAGAAGCCGCTGCTTACCTTTAGTGAAGCCGTGGCTCTGTGCCACCATCATGGAAAAAATGAGCAAACATAAGCGGGTAGGCCTACAAGAATGTCGTGGCGCATAGAAGAGGCGGAAAAAAGAAGGAGAGAATGGGAGAAGAATGAGAAAAGGGGGGAAAAGAAAAAGGAGAAGAAAGGAGAGGGACAAGGGGGGAAAAAAGTGAGGCTGTCCAAACAGAACCAGATGCAGGAGTGTGGAGGCTCGTTTGATCTCGATCCTCATAGGCTGATTGATGTTGCACATTTCATTTCCTTGTCAAAGTCCTGACATAATGTTTCACTAAACACTCAGACCTGCTCTCATCTTTGTTCTGTTTCCACAGGGGTCATAATTAAGCTTTTTTTAGAGCTGAAAATAGATCATACACATATCAATATATCAACATACACTATATAGGCTTACATACACAGACACACGCACACACACAGGGGGGTTTGGATATCCAAAAAGCCAGTATGTTGTCTGTTTCTGTCTCTCCACCATATGGTTTTAGCCTGACTGAAATACTGCACTGAAGAGTAGCCACGCTTACACTTTGAAGTTCAGGGGGAAATATCTTTATGTCCGTAATGCAGTCAATTCAATTACCATCATGTGACTCCGCGGTGACAAACTCAGCTGGTAGGAGCGCAGTGGCGTGACCGATCGTAAGTGATGTGTTTGGAAATCCATACTGGCCTAACAAAAGGAACCAATCATTGAATTCCTCCTCACCTTCACCCCTGAGAATTTCCTCACCCTCCTGCCCGCAGTTACTGAAGTTTGCACACAGCACACTACAACCATACCCATCCTTCAAGAGCTCCATCCCTCCCCAGGAGCTTATAGTGACACAAAGGCAGACATCTGGGACCCATTTCCCCTCCGTGGAGAAGCCCTTCCTGTGGGGTATCCACTTAGAGGGGTTTGGGAGGAGTAGGCTGGGGGGTGTGCGGTGGGGTGAAGGTGCATGGTAGGTGGGGGATGGTGGTGGCGGTGGTGGTGATGGTGGTGGGAGCCTGAAGACTACTAATGAGGAGGAGAGGTGTGGATGATCTAAACACAGAGTCAAACCTCCTGCCTTTCCTGGTTCGGGACCTTTTCGATTAAAGAAAGGCTTCGAAATGTATTCATTCATTTTATTTATTTGTTTATTTGCAGAGTTACACATAGTTTAGCATAAAGACTGGAAACAGCTCATAAAATCTACCCGCCAACATCTCAAAAGCACAACAGGTTATTCTGCACTAAAAAAAAAAGACCTAGCACATTAAAAAAAAAAGACACTCAACTGCTTTAATGACTTTTTTATTTTATTTTGTTTTACAGAGACAACACGCAGTTAGTGGTAATTACATCAGAGTTTGCTCACTGCAAAATGGGCATCCATATCCCCTGGGCAGGTAGACAAATTTTTTTTTTAGTTTAAAAGGAGAAGAAGAAGAAACAGGAAAAAAACAACAACAGCACATATAAGTCTTATTATAATTCTAATTCTCACCAGGCTCTTTGTTTCTCATAGTTTCCTGCCTCTTTGGTGTCTGTTCACCTAAATGTGATATTTATGATACAGACTCTTCTCATCTGTTTCCAGAAATCCAAATGAGAATATTTCTCCCGGGCTTTCATCTCTGATTTGAAATGACCAAATCCATCCGCCAGCACAGACAAGCACTTAAAAACACTGATTTTCCACATACAACTTTTGTTCATGCTTCATAATGCAGAAATAAAAAAAAATGTAAAAAATAAAAACTTCTCACAACTGGTGAAATTCATTTGCTGTTGAAGTCTTACAATCGATGGTCCAGATATGCTCCTGAACAGACCTCGAGGTGAGCTTGATTGACACACCTTTTCTAGGTGTGTGTTTACCCCCGCTGCGCACAAGCATCTATTATTCTTGTTTAGCTGTGCCTTCTTCGTATTAGATTGTAATTTATCATAATATTTAGCACCCGGGCTTCCTTCAAATGTCCCTGCTTTCATGTGTAATTTAGCCAATATCCTGCTCTGGCTCTGATTACAGTGTTTAAGTGCTGGGGTCCATCCGTGGCACATTACAAACAGTCCCAGCGGAGCTCACAGCTGAGCTGGGGATAACACACACTGGGTTGGTGCAGGCGGAGCAACAGGTTAGGCTGGAAAAAACAGACTTATGGGACTCATTCTGGCACATCCAGAGAAGAAGAAGCAGTGCATGATGGCTACAAGACAGAAGAAGGGGTGGGAATGTGTAGTGACATTATCACGCATCCAGCTCCGTCAGGTGTTCCAGTGAAGCACTGTCTGCAAGGTGGAGGGAACTAAACTAATTAAATATGAGAGTTTGCTGAAAATAAATGGGCCTGCTTGTTTTGTTTAGTTTTTTAGTAATGACTGATACGTGGCAGATAAGTTTGTGAACCACTGATTTAAAGGTGTGTTATGTGAAAGCGATATTTCTCTTTCTTGATCAAGTGTGTTGAGGGATTTATTTCACACACAAAAAGACATGCGTTAAACATGCAGGTATAAACAAGTGGTAGGTGTGCATACGTGTTGCTTCACTGTTACATCATATCATCTCCATATGTGCGAGCAGCACGTCCTGTGATCTCCCTGTGAATCAGAAAATGAATTACAAGGGCAACACATTGCAAGTACATTTGGATTTGAACTTTATTGGAAGTAAACACAAATAAGGATATTTGGATTTCTATCAAAGCTGCCTCTGTAGTCAACATGACCCCCGCCCCCCAAAGGTTTTTTAATTTAAACTTAGTGCTGACTCTAGACAGCTAGGCAGAAAGACGCTGATGTGATCAAGCTCTATATATAGAAAACCATCACATGAGAGTCATTTTCACTGCTGAGTCAGCCACACAACTTCACCATGTTAGGTTCACTTTTCTTGTAAGTAAGCCTGACAGTGAGTCAGCAGATCAGCGCTGACCATGTGGCCACTTTACTTGGAAAATCCTGTTTCAGTGTGAACTTCTTAAATGAGCTTATCAAGCCGCAAGTATTGTCTGGGAGGAAGAGACTCTTTCTACAGCACTTTTTCAACTGAATGTGAAACAGAAACACAATAATGACCTTTTACCATATGTGAAATGTAGTGTACATTCAACACCAAGCCAAAAGCTTGTGGCGTTAAGTCTACAATGTCTGAATATCTTGATATGAGATGAGAAGGCAATCAAACACCTTTCTGGCTTTCTATGGTCCTTTTTAGACCAA